GCTTTCTACAAAAAGTAGAAGTCCTACCAAAAAACACTACAACTACTCTTGCTTCTCCATCACATTATTTTTGGACAAGTAAATTAGATAGTATCGAAACCAATAAATCTATTTATTTTTTATGTTGTACGATACCTCATGAAACGTGCTTTCATATTTAATATAACGATTTAACTCTTTGTGTTCAAACCATTACATCAACATACTGTCCATTTTGAGAGAGTCTCTGTACATCTTGTCTTTTATGAATTTCTATTGTGCCGTCCAAAATTCAAATACTTTATAAGAGAGTTAAGTAGAAATTTGAAATCAATTTCCAATAAATTCAATTTCACCCCTTTTTGAGCTGGAGATTTGGGCATGTGGCTGACAAATGGACATAATTTTGAGATAATCCTAGGGTGAATTCCACTTCAAGTTCTACTTGATGTACACTTTTGTGTACACCAAGTTTCACAATTTGTCACATTTGACTGTTCAAAAAAATAATAGTTTTCATTTCACTCACTTTTTTACAACACGTCAAATGTCAAGGAAGATGTACATTCTAGTCTTCTTGATTCCACAGTTGTTACCATTTCTACAACGCTCGTGATTTGTTCAGCACACGTCCTATGGTCTCCATTGTCAAATGACATATTGTGAAAAATCAACAATTTCGGGTGTGAAAATGTGTATAAACAAGCTATAGAAATGATAAAAAATAATAATGTTACCCGTTAACTTTTTGAAAACTCTAGCTGATTTACGTACAGGACCTTGAAACGGGATTCATGTTTTTTACATAGTTCATAAAAATTTCAGACGATCATATTTTTATATAAAATCTTGGGAAAATTTGAATGTTAAGGGTCCTTTTGATTGTAAGAGTGGAAAATGGGTGGAAAGAAAATATTTTATAAGGAATTAATTTTTCTAGAAAATATTTTACTGGAAATTATAATTAATTGTGTTTGATTGGTATAATTTTTTATGAAAAATGTTGAAAGTTTGGTGTCCATTTGGCTTCGTTTTTTATGGAATTTGTTCATTAAAGTCATAATTTTTTCTACCATTGGGTCTAAAATTTGTTTCAATTATAAAAAAAAAAATTTGAAAAAAAATTTTACCATACCGAATATCATTCATTTGACTTTGTTTTGCATGGAAGTTGTCAATAAAAGTGAAATTTTTTTACCATTGTATCTAAAATTTGTTCCCATTGTAGAAAAAACAAAAAAAAAAGGTGAAAAATGTTTTTCCACCAAATAGGTGGGAAAACAAAATCAGACTTTTGTGCACCAAAGGATTGTACCTAGAAAAAGGTGGAAAATATTTTCTCAAGAAAATGTACTATCAAACACCCTTAATTGACTAAAGTTAAAAAATATTTTCATTTTTATTTATTTTTTACGCTACCAAACAGACCCCAAAAGTGGAAAAGGATTAGGAATTGCTAGCAAGTTGATTTTACATATGATAAAGAGAGAGAATATTATAATTTATATTTTACTTTTGCTAAAAGCATAAAAGCCATATGCAAAAGAATTTAAAGGGATTCACACGTGTCGGTAAACAACAATATCCTTCCTCTCTCTATCAGATAAGATCAATTAGCATCTGTCTGTCTCTTTTTAAAATAAAATTCTTTAATTTTCGTGTTCATTTTCAATGATAAATTCACATAATAAATTTTTTTATATGTAAACCCAAAATTTTATTCTACTTTTTAACTACATATTCTTTAAAAATTCATTATTCAAAACATCATTCGTTCAAATAATGGTCATCAAACAGGGACTTGATCGGTTTGAAAGTTCCATTGAGTAAGTTTTACAACTATTAATACGAGTTACGTCTCAAATTCGAGAATATGTGAGGTCCCTTTTATTTACAATAGGCCGTCACATCTGCACCCATACTAGCGTAATTTTAAATCTACGACGAAGTTTGAAAATAACACGAATATGCAACAAATTGAAAACAAGACAAGAACTAAATCAGTCTCTCTCGTATTAGTGCTCACGTCGAATCTCAAAATTTTGTCTTCAAATGCATTTGTGGAACAATGGGAGATGCGTGTAAAGAGGAAGGAAAATTAAGACCTTGTTTGATATCAATTTTTGAAACTTATTTTTTCTCTGAATTCATTAGTCGCATATTTTATAAGATCCACGATTGCTTTTAATTTTTTAATCACATATTTCATCCATTTAATTTTTTATCAAAATTTATTAAAAATTAATTTTAGCCAAGTAGGTAAAAGGCGGAAAGTAGGACGTAGACAAAGGGTTAAAGAAAATTGATAACGTTAGCAGTACTAAAATGTAATACGGATATAACCAAAGGCCAAAAGGCAAAAGGGGGCAGGCGGCCGGCAATCACGCCTTCAACGTTTTCAGCACTTGTCCCTTTCATTTCTCTCCTTTTATTCTAATACTCAATCTCAATCTCAATCTCCTTTCTTTCTAGTTAGTGCTAAAATCACTTAATCTACATAGTTAATTTTTTTGTTAAGGATCTTATTACATGTGCATGTAATAAATTATATAATACTACGTGTCATTCTATCATTTGTCAATTTAAAATACATTCAATTTTTTTCCTATGCATCATATTATGTAATCAATTATGTACATTTTTTTATGTACAAGTAGCAAAAAAAATTTTTTCGCCAGCGAAGTCTCGACTATTCCGAATGGGCGGAGGCTCGACCACTGTGAGTACGCACTAGGTAAACTCTGCTCTACATGCAGTAGCCCGCAAACCACACAGGAGGGTAAACAACACTAGACAAGTCCGGTGCGACGAGCTCGATCGAGGAAGTGTTAGCAATGGATTCGAACTCGTGACATTTGGCCTCCGCGATCACCTGCTCCACCAACTCGGCCACCCCCTAAGGGGTTAGTAGCAAAATCATTTTGCTAGTAGGGAGGGTGGGTCTAGGTTTGAAGATTATATATCTATGTTTCGTATATTTGGGTTAGGTTGAATATTTAGCCATGAATGTCGTGTGGAAGGAGGAGAGTGTCAGTGAAGTACTTAGCCCCTACTAATATTTTCTTGTCATTCAATTCTACATAAAAGGTCCTGTCACATACGTGTCTATCGAGTGACGTTACCAACTTTTTTATAGTTGAAATGAGAATTTTAATTCGAGTCTAACGACAACCCCATCCTACTATAGATAGTTGCATGCGTGAATTAAGAAGTGCCACCTTTACCCATCTATATTCCTAATTAATTCATTCCACGGCCCACTCTCGAGTTTACCTCTGTTTTGGGATAGCTTAAAAATTTGCTAAAAATTGATATTACATTCAAAAATTAATTTCAATCATATATTCTATGGGATCCACAATTTATATTAACTTTTCAATCAAACATTTCATAATTTTTTTTTTTGTCAAACAATCATAACCTGGATTAGTTGCAACATATGTAATTACATGTGAATGGACAAGTGCTGCTTTTCTTAAATTTGAATCAAGGGGGCATAATCCATTAAATCACGTACGATTTGTTGGATTAATTATGGCTTGTGGTTAGGGCAATTCTACAGTAAAAAAAAGAAAAGAAAAGGCATACATTTTTTTAATTATGGCCGGCCGATTATTTAATTTATGCAGCCTTTTTCTTTTCAAAAAATTACGTACACAGTCAAAGATAAAATTATTGACTCGTTGAATATGTAATATAATACTAAATAAATTCTTTAAATTGATATGGAACGCTTCCTTGTTGTTTCTTCGGTTAGTCTCACTCAATGCGTCGTCGTTTCTTCGGCTATTCAATTTATCTAATGGTTTATGCAATTTTTGAAGACTGCTAAAGAAATTTTGTCAATATTTTATGATGTTTATGCAATTTTTCAAGACTGCTAACAATTTAGATTTGACTATTAGGTAGATTAATCAGTTTTTTCCTTTTTGAAGTAATTGCCACATCACTTTTATGGATACATTGCCCTGTTAGGTAGGATTACAATTAAAATTAAAATTTAAATTAAAGTTTAACAAATAATTTTAAAAATATAGTACGTAGATCCATAATTTTTTAACCACAGATTTTAACAGCATTTTTTATCAAAATTTACTTAGGGTGTGTTTGAGCCACATTATTTTGGAAGAATGTATTTTGGAATCGTAGATTTATGAAGAATGTGTGGTTGAAAAAGAAGGAAAAATTATTGATGTGATGAAAAATATTATTTTATTGAAGAATGTGTGGTTGAAAATGAATAGAAGAATGAAAATGAAAATTTTAATGTGTACCAAATAGGGGCTAAAAAAACTCATTTTAATCCCCATCAAAAAGGGGAATTGCATATTGTTTTTGTCGAGTTACACACATTTTGAAAAAAAATTATTTCAATTATAAAAGCGAAATCATAATTTTTTAATCACATATTTTATTAAAATCTATTTTAAAAATCTTATTTTTATGTAAACCGACATAGGCTAAAAAAATGACACGTCAAATACTAAAAGAGAATCAATTTTCGTAAAGTTCTAAATTAGTATTCAATTTTTAAAGAGATGTTTGATGCATATTATTGAGAGAAGAATGTATTTTATGACGTGATGTGATAAAAATATATGGTTAAAAATAATGAAAAATTTTAAATTTGTGTATAATATTATTTTATTGAATAATGTGTGGTTAAAAATGAATTTTGAAAGAATGAATTTCGAAAAGAATGTGGATCAGACGGGAGCTTATACTTTTTCCAAATTAATCATTATTTCAAAGAGAAAATGTTTTATTTTTTTATTTTTTATAATAAGACTACTTTAGTAAATTAATCAAAGAAACATTTTTGTAAAGCGTACAAAAATAATAAATACAACAATAATTGTACCTGCCAAGTACGCCTATCTGTACCTCCCTTGCCTTCACCTCCTATATTTATGCCACTCACTTCTCTCTCTCTCTCTCACGCCTCATTCCTTCCGCCTCTTCACTCTCTCTCTCTCTGCAAAAGAGACGAAACTTAAAAGTTGAAAAATTCTCCAACAAAAATGAAGAAGTTGATAAGGAGGCTATCTAGAGTGGCTGATTCTTCGCAGTATTGTCTTTTGCGGCCGGAATCCAGGGCGGCGAGGACTCGTCGATTGGAATCTTTCCGAAAGAAGTCCGGCGGAGTGCCCCAGGGTCACCTGCCGGTCTACGTCGGTGAGGAAATGGAACGATTTGTAGTGAGCGCTGAGCTCTTGAATCACCCGATCTTTGTAAACCTACTCAACAAATCGGCGCAAGAGTACGGCTACCAGCAGAAAGGCGTGCTCCGGATTCCCTGCCATGTGTTCCTCTTTGAACGGGTGCTGGAGGCTCTTCGAATCGGCGGCGAGTCGCTTGAACTCCCGGACCTCCTCAACTCCCTCTCCGACGAGTTTTCGAACAGTCGGGGAGATAATTAGTGGAGTTAAGTTGATTTTACGAAGCTGCTGTGGCCGTTGGCGATCGTATAGCTTTTGGATTAGATTTTGTTTTCTTTTTCTTCATCTTTGTAAATACTCTGTGATGAACAAAGTGGAGTAGGGTTTTGATGAAGCTGTGTTTGCTTAACCATATAGAAAGTTAAGAAGCAATACAGAATTTGAAAATTACTTCATTTTTTTTCCTTATTTTCCATCTTTATTACTGTGTGTTCTATAAACAAATTGAAATTTCACCAAGTGGACTGGAATTTGGTTAGATTTACGATAATGGTACTCTGAATGTTACCGTACTAACGGCCGACAAGGAAACAGGAAGCTGACCGTTGACTCCTAGAGAATTGAGCGCTTACCGTTTACGCTTCTTTTGCGGGTTATGGAATTGTTTCGAGGGAATGAAGGGAGGGGGCATAATTGTCATTTGACCTTTCTGAGTTTTTTTTTTAAAACCCCTTTTTAATATTGAATTCCTAGTTGATTTGCTTTTTCTTTTTGAGATAAGGGTGCGACATAAAGAATTCGAATTGATTAACGTTATTCGTCATTTGTGACGATCATCACTAATTTAGGTGACATTAAACTTTCCGCTATAAAACTTTTGTTAGATAAAAGTGTAATTACGTTTTTCGTTCTTATAAAATTACGCATGATTCTGTGTATCAAAATTTTGTGAATCTTTATGAAATTCGTTTAGAAAGTGGATTTCTTAAAGTATTATTTTGTGATGGTTGATAAGAAAGAAATGGTTCTTAAATTCTCCACCTAAAACAATGTTGACATCTCTAATTGGGAATCTGCAAAATTACACGATTGGTAAGTCATAGATGTAAACTAAAGGTAATTTATGAGCATAAAATACTTTAATCTAGGTAAACAAATAGTAGGGGTCTCCAACTTATAGGTATTCCAACATTTACGTTCTCAAATTTTGGATCATCAATGGACAGCCACTAATGCTACTCAAACAGGGAATTAAAACAGGGGGCTGAGGTGGATCCACCTCACCCCATGTTTTATTCCCCTGTCCCCAGCCCTGTTTGAGTAGCAGAGTTGATCTGTTTAGCTTTTCAAAAAGTCAAAAGTTTAGTTGAAAAGAAAATAATTTTAATATTTTAATAAATCCAAAACAGACTAGATAGAAGATTAAGGACTTGTTTGATGCACAGTTTTTTCAGAATAATTTTTTGTGAAAAAAAAAATTTTAAAAAGAATTTTTTAATTAAAACAGGGAATTAAGTAAAAAAAGGGGGGGAATTTTTGCTTGTTTGATGGACAGCCACTAATGCTACTCAAACAGGGCTGCAAACAGGGAATTAAAACAGGGGATGAGGTGGATCCACCTCAACCCATGTTTTATTCCTTGTCCCTAGCCCTGTTTGAGTAGCAGAGTTGGTCCATTTAGCTTTGCAAAAAGTCAAAAGTTTAGTTGAAAAGAAAATAATTTTAATAAATCCAAAGCAGACTAGATAGAAGATTAAGGACTTGTTTGATCTACAGTTTTTCAAAATAAATTTTTGTGAAAAATGAATTTTTAATTAAAAAGTAGAAAAACAGTCATAAATATACGTACAAATTTATCTTACTGGAAAAATGCGATTGAAAATAAACTTTAAAAAATGTGTCAAATAGTGGCTAAATCAAACTCAACTACACATTCATCTCATTAACTGTCTTGCCACCTACTTCCTCCACATCAAGCTGGGCAAGTGGAACGATCAAGTTACATGTACATCATGGTTTACATCATTTTTGACATTGTGCCACGTCTTGATACATGATTGGATAGTTTTACAAAAACACACTTTTCCGCACAACACTCTTTGAAATACAATGAAATGTAAATAATGTACATTTAGCATAATTCCGAGTGGAATAGGCAAGTTCCCCTAGTGATGGGACAAGTGACGATGCGACCTTTTTTGGTACGAGATTGGATGGGTCACAAAAGACCGGTTTTCTCTCACTTTCTATTTAATTTTTCATATATAATTCATTTATTCATTTTACATCTCGAAAAGTATTTTACGTGCGATGCAGCCAACGTTTTTCACAATCAAATGTAAGCTTAAGGACTCGAGTGACACAATCTTAAATGGGCAGTAGCTCAAATTTTATGATATAAAGATTGAGAATCGAAATACACCAATATCATGGATTAGGGACTCTTTTATAAATTTCCCCTTAATTTAAGTTTAGGTAGTTTACTATGTGACAATATGCATGAACCTAAAATTATGGAAGTCACATGCTCGTAAATTAATGACCGTAATTAGTCGATTAATAACAGTTTTCCCGTATTCTTTGCAAAGGTGCCTTTAATCCCGTTTTAAATCCCACAAAAAATGCTAATAAGGCCGAACGTGCAAAAATAATTTAGGGCATGTTTGATAGCACGAAATTTCCTAGAAAAGTTGAAATTCGTTTTCCATTTTTCACTTTTAGGTTGTTTGACAGACTAAATTTTCTATGGAATTTATTTTCCACCCTTACCCCATTTTCCACCCAATTCTTGGTTTTCCAAGCTACTTTTTTTTTTTTTGGCAATTGGAATGAATCTTATTCCCAATTGTAACAAATTACATCTTTTTAATTGATAATTTTCATGAAAAATAAAGCCAAATGAATGGTATTCGGTACGATAATTTTTTTTTTTGGTAATTGGAACAAATTCTAGACTTAATGGTTTAAAAAAATTATCACTTTAATGAATAATTTCCATGAAAAGGAAGCCAAACAGATACCAAACTTTCAACATTTTTTAGGTGAAAAATTATACCAATCAAACACAATTAATTGCAATTCCCAGTAAAATAATTTCTAGGTAATTCAATTCCTTGAAATTCATTTTCTTTCCACCAATTTTCCAACTTTGCAATCAAACGGTAGGGTCCGTTTGATTGCAAGGGTTGAAAATGGGTGGAAAGAAAATGTTTTATAGGGAAAAGATTTTCCTAGAAAATGTTTTTCTGAGAATTGTAATTAATTGTGTTTGATTGGTATAATTTTCTACCTGAAAAATGTTGAAAGTTTGGTATCCGTTTGGTTTCTTTTTTTATCAAAATTGTCAATTAAAGTGATAATTTTTCTATAATAGGTGGGAAAACAAAATCAAGGTTTTGTGCATCAAATGATTGTACCTAGAAAATGTGGAAAACGTTTTCCATAGAAAAATTTACCTATCAAATTCCATGGAAAACTAAGGCTATCAAACGGAGCCTTAGTGAAATGAAAGGTGTTGGATAATATTTAGGGACAACTTGAGGGGACTTCTATTTTTTTTGTAGAAAAGCTACCTTAAATTAATTTTCCTTAAAGATTCTTCCAATCAGATAAAGTACTTTTAGAAAATTATTCAATGTTTTCAAAAGCATCTTCTTAATATCAGAAGCAGCATTTGATTTTTTAAAAACTCTGCCAGACTGGCCCTTAGTGGATTAAGATCTCCTAACGAAAGATGTTGGATAATATTTAGTGGTGGGGGTATCGTTCGTATGACCTCAGACCCCACTAAGACTTCGTTTTCAACTTTTTTTCTACAAAACAACAATTAATAGATTAATTAATAAAAAAAAATCAAACAAAAGAAAATATGATAATGAACTATTTTGGACCAACTAATACGACATGATCAACTGAAGAGGACATATTGGAATCTAAAAATTGGAAGTTGGAAGGGTTTTGGTGTCCCACTTGGATTTAAATCATTGAATTGATTATTACTTAATCTTTGTTCAATCATTGAAATTGCTAATTGAGTGAAGATTAACTTAAAATTGATTAAATTTGTTGGAGATTCGACAACCCAATAATGATCACAGACAAAGAGAACCTTATAGGAGCATATGGTGAAAGAAGATACTTACATTTTAACGTGTTTGAGAAGGAATACTGATGCGGTATGGATAGAAGAAGATTTCATGAAAAAGTGGGATCGATGTCAATAAAAATAAAGTTTCGAAGTGTTCGTTTTTGAAGAAGTTTGGGTCAATTTTGAGTAGAAACTGCCCAATAAGTAAAATTTTGATTTTAATTCCATTTGTTGCGGAAAACGTGTCTTTTGATTTTCTTGCTATTTTTAGTGTATTAAATAAATTCGAATTTTAATTTCATTTACTGTGGATTAATTACAAATATAAGAAATTTTACTTAATTTTCATCATTATCTAATCATAACTATAAATAAGTATCATAATCCCTAATGGCAGTTAGATGTTTTTTAATTATAATAAAAATTCTTAAGAAGTTTCTCTCAATATTCTCTCTTTCTTTACACTCGTGAGCAAATCAACAAGTTTGAATTTTCATGTGAGATTTTATTATTTCCTATAAACTTCCGTTACGTCAAATGCTAAACGAGACTAAACTATATTACTAATCTCAACGTCTCTTTATTATTCAGCGTTGTTTACTCTGTCAAGTCGAGCATATCGATTCAACAATTGGGCCATGTAGTTCTTTCACTTTCATCTCCCCAACTTCTTTGTCACATTTTTATTGAGCATATATATTATATGAATTATTCTTCTTGTACCGGGGGTATACAACCCCCCTGACCGGCCCCCTCACAATAGGGGGGCCCACTGTTATTCATTAATCAAATATATATATATATATATATACACGACGCGTTTAATGATTCTCCAGTAAAAGAATATATAGTGAGTTTGCTGTCAGCCTTGCCAAGGTATTTTTTTGCTTTGCTGTAATGAGACTCTTAGTGCAAAGTTTTGTTGTTAGGATCTTTCTTGTTTGAAAGTGAACTGGAAATTGATTTGTAGTGTCTATGTTCATTGTTCATACAGCAAGAATTGTTTATTTATTTTAGACATGTGAGTGAGTGAGTGAGTTAGTGCATAGCCATCTAGCCTGTGAATTGTGAAAGATTTTTTTTATTTTTTTACCTATGTTTTGAATTTTGATGTTACAATAATGCTAGCTGTTCAAGCTATGAAGACATTGAAGAGGATATTCACGAAGAAAAA